AACCCCCCGTAACTCCCAAACCCCGGGGGCTATCGACGTGGGGGTGGTCTCATTCGAAAGCGGGCCTCTATATGTACACTCGATTCACGTTCGAGAGGGTTCCTTGAGCTGAAGGGATCCCACGAATTTGGTGGAGATCCGCCGGTGCTTCCGGCATCAATTCTAGTAGTGTAAAACGTAATCCCGCTTTCGAAACGGTCTGTTTTGCCCTGCCATTAGCTGAGGCTGTGTGTGAACAAGCCGTGGCTGCAGTCAGAGCGTGAGCTGCTCCATCTCACGCAGCCAGAGGGAGTTCCGCAACAACGCTTAGCTGCCGTGTTTCTACTTTCACATGCAAATGACTTGATATGACTTGATATGATAACTTTCCGGCATCAATTCTAGTAGGGTAAAACGTAATTCCGCTTTTGAAACGGTCTGTTTTGCCCTGCCATTAGCTGAAGCTGTGTGTGAACAAGCTGCGGCAGCAGAGTGTGTGCTGCTCCGAGCTCCATCTCACTCAGCCTCAGAGGGAGTTCCGCAACTACGCTTAGCTGCCCGCAGATGCGCCTGCCTATAAATCGGCCTAATTTGCAGCACAATCGGCCGATGCTGATTAATTAAAAAATGCCAAAAATTGGCCGATTAATCGGCCGACCGATTGATCGGTCGACCTCTAGTCAGTAACATTGTCACTTTGAGGTACTATGTCTATATCATTAAGATCAATTCCATGCGATATAATTAAATCTAGGGTATGATTAAAATGATGAGTGGGTCCGGTGACGTTTTGCTTGAATCCAAATTCCATGCGATATAATTAAATCTAGAGTATGATTAAAACGATGAGTGGGTCTGGTTATGTTTTGCTTGACTCCAAAAGAGTTTATTAACTCTGTAAACGCAAGTCCTAACGCATCATTTATATTATAAACATGAATGTTAAAGTCTCAGACAATTAGTGCTTTCTCAACATTAACCAATAGGTCTGAGAGGAAATCTGCAAATTATTTTAGGAAATCTGTATATGGCCCTGGAGGTCTATACACAGTAGCCTGAGCAAGAGATAGGAGAGATTTATTTTGTTTATCTGACAATGTAACATTAAGCAGAAGTATTTAGAATGAGTTAAACCTGTATCCTGTTTTCTGAGTAACATAGAGAATGTCACTATATATTGTTGCAACACCGCTGCCACGATCAATCTGACAGGGCTCATGCTTATAACAGTAGCTTGGTGGAGTAGACTCATTTAGACCAATATAGTCATTTGGTTTGAGCCAGGTTTCAGTCAAGCAGAGTACATAAAAACTATTCTCTGTGATCATTTCATTTACAATGACTGCTTTGGGTGCGAGTGATATAATGTTTAAGAGCCTAAGCTTTAAAAATTGTTTTTGTTCATTTATTTAGCATTTTTCTGGTTTAATCACGATCAGGTTTTTTCTAGATCCTGCATTAAATTTATATTTTGACCTCACTATTCGGGGAACAGACAGTCTCTATAGATCGGACAATGCAAGTATTTCTATCATTTAATTGGGTAGAACAAAAGCCATCAAATCAGTTATTTAAGAATTGGCTTACTAGTCATATGGAGCGTAGCGCCCTGGAGATGTTGTCCGACAGGAGTTCTGGTCCGAAAAAGCCTAGGTCGCTCCCAGAAAAGATTCCAATTATTAACAAAGAGCAGTTTATGTTCTTTACACCATGACAATAACCATTTGTTTAAAGCAAACAGTCTACTAAACCTTTCGTATCCTCGTCTATACGTGGGAAGTGGTCCTGACATGACGATCCTCTTCGCTGGCGATGTGCTGCGTACCATCTCGATCAGGCTCCTGAAGTCCCTATTCAGAGTCTCCGTCTGCCGCAGCTTGGTGTCTCTGATGACCACGGCATCACGTTCCGTCTCGCGGAGGGGAGCGAAGTGGTTCCGGGTGGAGATCTCGAAGACCGGAGGCGGCAGAGGGGGAGAGGTCCTCGCCCGGGGCCTGGCTTGCGTCTTCCGCTGCTGGTGCACCCAGGGTCTGTGGTGTCCAGGCGTCGGAGTGAAAGAGACCTGGGAAGATCGCGTCCTGGGTGCATGGGGCCTGTGCAGAGAAACACACGGAGTAGAGGTGGTGGGAGTGTTTGCAGCGTGCTGTATACTTACCCTTAACATTAAAGGTTCTGTAGTTTATGACCATGTAAACAGCATGACAAGGTAAATTGGAAAAAAGCCAAAGCTTGTCAATTCAGTGCCATAATAATTTAACTTGCAGTTATTAATACTGTACAAATAGCCTGTGGTGTTTTGGCATAAATGTTACTGTTATTACTTATATTAAATATTGGGGAATATTTTACTTTTATAGAAGTTGTTTTTGTAGTTTCTACATGTTTAGGTTTTTTTTTTTTTTATTGTTAAAAATTCCATAGTTTTTATTGTTTCTTTATTTTAAAAACCATATAACCATGTTAATGAGGACCATGGTTTTACCATGGTTTCTCAAGCCCCTGCCCCTTTAATCGGCGACTCTAAAGTGCCCTTTCAGTCAGATTTAGATGCCCCCGGACGGCGATTTCTATGGAGGGGGCATTACCGGTGGAACATAGAAGATGTGTCTTATATAAATTAGGTGTGTATTATTTACAAATATTAAAGTTCTTAAAGGGATAGTTCACCCAAAAATGAAAATTACCATTTACTCAACATGTCATTCCAAACCTGTATGCATTTCTTTCTACTGTGGAACATAAAAAAGAAGATAATTTGAGAAATTCAAGACATTTTTGTCCATACAGTAGAAATCAAACCAAAATGGTTTGTTTACAACATTCTACAAAATATCTTCTTTTGTGTTCCACAGAAAAAATTCAGTCATTCAAGTTTGGAACGACATGAGGGTGAGGAAATGATGACAGAATTTAATAGCAGTACATTTTCTGCATTCTAGCTCAAAATCAATGCTGTACTGTCAAGTGCATTTCTATGTGACAAAAATGCAGTATTAAATTTGTTGCATTTGCTGTGAATTCAGTAATATCTATCATTATTTGTTTCTGTCCTGTTTTATTTATTCATTTATTTACACCAATTTAAGGCCCTGTAACCCAGAAAAACATTCACCAGGGAATTCGTGGGCTGGATGGGTTGGATTTGTCCAGGGCCGAATTTTATCCCTAGTCCAGCCCTGGTAACGCCCACATCTCCTACCTATGTAATAAACACAGAAATGTTAGTCTCGTCTGAATCAGTATGTCATGTCACGTCATTTTTTTTTTTCACAGTAGAGTCTGTGTACCATGATTTGTTGACGTAAATGCACCTCCTTTGCTCTGACATGAGTTTACCGCAATTCTGTCAGTCCTCTAGCTCAATGGCGCTGATGAGAATGTTGTCATTCAACAACATTTTATTAAATAAAAATCATGATGCATTCCATTATCCGTTTGTGTGTTGACATCCGAAGCCCCAGTTCATCCATTTTGTTCACCAAAGACAGTATATTTGCAAGAAAGATGCTCGGGAGAGATGGTTGATGTGGATTTAGCTTTAGTCTAGCTGTAATGCTGCCCTGCTTCCCACGTCTTTGTTTATGGTCTCGGCACTGATGCTGGGTCATCTCTACCAGACAAGCTGAATGAGCTGGATCAGCAGTCCCCATCCAGGAGCAGGACTAGACATC